TCAGTTAGTTTTTTGTTATTATGTTTATGTTGTGAAATAAAATTTGTACAGAAAAATGTCTATCACCCATCTACCATTTTTAATTCTGATAGACCTGAGTGCTTTCAATAGAGACTCTTACAAAGGACATACTTATGTCCTTCCTTTATATGTATGTATGTGACAGTACTTAATAACAATATTGTCAATATGAAAGCATCTAAATGAATGATTAATAACAGTATTAGTGGCTATTACTGTTATTAATTTGAACACAAAAAGCCTAGGCTTGAATGAAAAGGAGAATGCAGAAAGGATAATAGATTCTTCTCCCTTCTTTGCTCATTCCCATACATAGAATGGAAAATAAATCATTTCACATATCTCAGTTTACATTTAAGGAGTCACATGGGATGTGAATTTGGCCATTGCCTTTCATCAAAGGATTTCTAAGAATCTCACAAGCATACTCAGTAATCCTCTAACCACTCCTGTGAAGTTGTAGCTGGCAATATTATCATCTCTATTATAGTGTGGAGTAAATGGAAGCACTGAAATACTCAGTGATATTTTTATCTTCCACTCAGAAATTTCTTACTACTTTACAGGCCAGTGTAACTGTCAACTTTATGAAGCTTAGTGAGATTATGTGATTTGCCCAACCTTAGGGAAGAATTTGGCGTAGTATGAAGGCTCCCTGAGTCTTAACCACTTTACTAAGCTTATTCTTTACCCCCCCATTCCTCCCCTCAGTCCTGCTATTCAAAATTGTATTTAAACTAATGTTTTAAAAGTTCTATAAGAGAACCTCAAATCATATAATTTTGTGATCATCTGAGTGTCATTCCTGGTTTTTTATTAGGAATCAAATGATAGGGTTTTTTTTTCCTAGAATAATGTCTTTAATATTGTAACTTATGTTAGTCAATAACGTTGTATAATAAAACTCATCTACTTGTTCTGTTCTGATGAACCAGATAATCCTATTCAGGATACTGCCATGTGTTAAGCTAAGTAAAAAACAGGAGGACAGTCTTAGAGAATAATATAATTATACAAACATAGTTACTCTATATGTAAAATTACATGTCAAATGTTTTATATTTTTTAAAATTCTCAACAGCAGTAATTCTGGTAGCAACCAGAATTTTGATCCCAGTGAATCTAAACCTAGTATTCCTAGAAATAGAATATAACTCGTAAATTATGGGCATAGGTGGAAATTTGGGTAAGTTGGAAGTTAGAAGTCACCCACAGAGATGTTACCTGTAAGAGGGAGGTAATTAGGACACAATAGATAGATATCCTTTAAATAATTATCTGTTTTTAAATTGTGCTAAATTATACATAACAAAATTTACTATTTCAATCATTTTCTAGGTGTCCAATTCAGTGACATTGAGAATATTTACCTTGTTGTGCAACCATCACCACCATTCATCTCTAGAATTTTTTTCATCTTGTAAAACTGAAACTCTGTATCCATTAAACAGTAATTTCCCATTCCTCACTCCTTCTAGCCCCTGCAACCACCATTCTATTTTTTGTCTTCATGAATTTGACTACTCTCCTATGTTTGGAATCATACAATATTTGTCCTTTTGTGACTGGCTTATTTTACTTAGCATAATGTCTTCAAGGTTCATCCATGTTGTAGCACATGTCAAATTTCATTTCTTCTTTTTAAAGCTGAATCAGGTTTTGTTTTATGTATATATCACATTTTGTTTATCTGTTCATCTGTCAGTAGATATTTGGGTTGCTTTTCTACCTTTTGGCTATTGTGAGCAATGCTGCTATAAACATTGGTGTACAAATATCTGTTTGTGTCCCAGCTTTCAATTATTTTTGGAAGTGGAATCATGGAATCATATGGTAATTCTGTTTTTAATTCTTTGAGGAATTGCCATACTGTTTTCCATAACTGCTGAACCATTTTACATTCCCACCAGCAGTGCACAGGGATTATGGTTTCTCTACATCCTCACCAACCCTTTTTTTTTTTTTTTAAATAGTAGCCATCCTAATAGGTTGTGAAGTAATATTTCATTGTGGTTCTGATTTGCATTTCCCTAGTGATTAGAGATGTTGAACATCTTTTCATGTGCTTATTGGTCATTAGTATATCTCTTTGGAGAAATGTATATTCAAGTCCTTTGTCCAATTTTGTGTGCCCACTTTTTTAAACCAAGATAGTAGCCACAGGAGCTGCTTTACAACTTTACAGAACTACCAGAAGGATACCACTTTTGTTAGCTAATACTAGTAACAAGAGAGTAAATATTTTAGGAAAATATCCCATATATCTAATCAAATTTTACCTATTTTTCCTTCATGTGTTTCATCCGTCTCCTCTATTCCTACTAACAGTAAACTAATCAATTTAGTATATTCTTATGATTGTGTTAGTTATAAAAGAGTGGTTGGGCCCAGTTGTAATTAAATGTTAAGAATAGATGGTCATAAACTCTGTAGTGGATTTGCTCTTCTTTCCCCTTCTTTAATTCCCTTCCCCTCAACTCAATAAAGATTTATTACGCACAGGACCTGAGATCTGAGTTTCTCTCCCTCAAGATGTGTGACAGGTGGCAAGTTGCACAAACTATTTTCCCTATTGGCTGAACTAAGTGATTTCTTAGATTTCTTCTAGTCTTGTCTATTATATCTTTTAAGGATTATTTTAAGTATTATAACTTTTGGTTATTAGATGTCTGATTTATCTTAATACTACACTACCCTCAATAAATAATATTTTTAGGTTGTCACCAAACATAAAGTGGGAGATGACAGCCTGTTTTAACTCAGCTTACTTTCTTGTTTTCTATTTTTTACTTATTTCCTTGGGTTTCTTAGATCAACCTGGGGCCTAATCTGTAAACTTTTTAAAAGCAAACATTTAGTTACTTTCCCTAAGAATTACCCATTGATAATAAAGCAATATTTTGAACAGTTAATAGCAGGATGGAATTTGTCTCCTTCTGAAGTATAGTGTTGCATCTTAATAGCATTTAGAAACAAAGGATAAGAAATGCTGTACTGTTTAACTTTAGTTTTTTAATTTTTTTTTTTTTTTTTTTTTTTTGAGACAATTTTGCTCCTGTTGCCCAGTCTGGAGTGCAATGGCACGATTTTGGTTCACTGCAACCTCTGCCTCCCTGGTTCAAGCAATTCTCTTGCCTCAGCCTTGGGAGTAGCTGGGATTACAGGCGTGCACCACCACACCAGGCTAATTATTTTGTACTTTTAGTACAGACGGTGTTTCACCATGTTAGGCTGGTCTCGAACTCCTGACGTCAGGTGATCCACCTCAGCCTTCCAAAGTGCTGGGATTACAGGCGTGAGCCACCACGCCTGGCCTAATTTCTATTTTTGAAGTGTTATAAATACCAGAACATCTTACATACCCAAATACGGCAATATGTATTCCAAAGCTAAATATAAATTTTAAAAAATTATCTGCATTTTAATTTGTTTGTACCTCTGTTTTCTTCTTGACTCATTGGGAAATCAGATTAAATTGATATTAAGTGGATTTCTAAAAGCATAAATAATTCTTTAAACCAATTTAATCTCAAGAAATAATGTTGTGATAAGCTAATGTGGATATAGTAGCAAAATAATCTCCTTTTAGATAGATTGTTTTTGTACTTAATATTTACTGTTCAATGATTTTCTTAGATTGACCATCCCTTCTATTTTTTCTTATTCCTGTCCTTTGTAAATCAATAGTTATGTATGAATAGTCATTTTCTAAGATCAATACAAACTTTTAGGGGATTTCTGTAATACAATATATACAATCTTTTTGCTTTATGCTCTTAATTCTTTAATATTTTAATTCTATTTCTCAAGAATCAAGAAAATACTTTTAACACTGCATTTGTCACTGAGAAAACTAGTTTTAATTTATATTGACCTTTTTCTCCTTTGAACATTTAGTCTGCATTCAATAAAATGTTGATGACTGCTCTTTAGAAGACAGCTGTATGAAATAAAGTATTATAAATATTCCGCTTCCCTTTCTAAGCATTGTCACCAACAGCTGGGCATCCAGTTTAGCAGAACAGATTTTGCACACAGAGAGCCTGGCATATTCCTGAATCAGTTTAGTGAAGGAAACAAAAAATAGTTTCTTATGGATTGGGGACTTATAAAGACATAGAGCATCTGTTCCTCAGTTAAGTCATAGTCTGGTTGCACTGAATCATGTTTAAATCTAGAATAATGTGCAAAACTTTTTTTCACCATGCTCATACCTTTAACACCTAGTGCACTGTTTCTGTACTATACTTTCAACATCTCCACTGAAAGTGTATAAATTATTTTGCTCTTATATATGATATTGTAATAGTGGTATTTTAAAGCAGACAAACATACTAACTTTTATAAGGCCTTTTATAATATGACAGATGTTTAAATTGTACGGTAGTCCTTGTATATATAACTGCATATATTTTTTTTTTTTATTTTTTTTTTTTGAGACGGAGTCTCGTTCTGCCACCCAGGCTGGAGTGCAGTGGCCGGATCTCAGCTCACTGCAAGCTCCGCCTCCCGGGTTCACGCCATTCCCCTGCCTCAGCCTCCCGAGTAGCTGGGACTACAGGCGCCCGCCACCTCGCCCGGCTAGTTTTTTGTATTTTTTAGTAGAGACGGGGTTTCACCGTGTCAGCCAGGATGGTCTCGATCTCCTGACCTCGTGATCCGCCCGTCTCGGCCTCCCAAAGTGCTGGGATTACAGGCTTGAGCCACCGCGCCCGGCCCATAACTGCATATATTTTTTAAAGTAACTCATTTAAATATTTAATTATGATCCCATTTAGAGATATGTTATGCAATTAGAATCAAACCTGTCATCATAAATAATTGCTTTCTTCATATGGTATTCTGCTTTAATAAATAATATAAAAATGGGTTGGCAGAACTAACTTAGAATCTTCGTTTATATATCTTTCCCTTAATTATTGGGCTACTTTAAATAAAGCATGTCCAATCTAAAATTTCTTTAAATTTTTTGTTTGTAGTGTTAAAAGATCACTGAAATTGGATGATCTGTTAGAAGAAAATGTAAGTATTTGCTTAAAAGTCATTGCATAAGATTGGTTTTCAATTTTTAACTACTAATTTACCTTGTTAAATATTAAAATTATCAAGACACGATGTGATGTAATTGTGATTGGTACACCATTTTCTGCATATAAGATATTTTAGTTTTTGTAAATCTAATATGTGGAAGTTTCTGGCCTGCTTGAGGTGTTTAGTTAAAAAGCAAATTAATTATTTAAAAACCGTAATGAAATAATTTAGTAGAAATTAATTCACTATTTGTGGGAAAAAAATAGTCTGCCACTTAAATGTACAAGAAATAATATAGGACAATGACAGTACTTTTAATCTGCATACTATAATCTGCTAAAATGAAATGAAAACATTAGTAGCATTTTTATATCAAAAATGTAATTACCTTCCTCAGCTATGCTGGCATGGATTAAACAGCATAATACTAACACTGTAATAAATTGCACCACGGTTATCACAATGAAAATTAAATTGTACTGTTGCCATTACTTTTTGTAAATTGAGTTGTAGCACATTCCCAGTGCCAGCATATCATGACATATGTTAGTTTATTATTTTTTCATACCAACTATGGATCTAGATAGAAACACTAATACTGAGATACTTATGACCTCAGTAATCTTAAATGCAGGTAAATTGGTGAGAAAGTAAATTAAAACAAATAGCTAGTCAATAAATAGGCTCCTCCAAATTCACATATGAATGCCATTTCAATAAATGGGTTTTATATGGAATTTTTCTTTGGAAGACTCACTGGTATTTAACAAAACAGAAATTTACCATTTAGAAAACTTGCTACATGCTTTTTAAAAATTTTTAAACAAAGGTGGCAAAGTACTGCAATGACACTAAAAAAATCATTAACAGTATAATTAGCAATTTAGAATACCATTATCCAACTTGTTCTGTGCAGAATGCAGCTGTGACTATAATTCTGCATCTGTTTCTTTGGTCAGAATGGTATTTTGGTAGATGAGTAGTCCAGCTTGAAATGAAATACTGTTCTTTCCTGCCCCAAAGCTGTTCTTTGGGAGATGGTAACTTTGTTTAAATGGAAAAGAATGACCGTTTCAGAACCTATTCTCTTCATGAAGTAAATTGTCATCATAGCAGGCTTTCTATGTATTTTTTCTTCAGATGATGTGTCAAGGTAGCCAGTGTCACAGCTGATATCCTGTATTAGAAAAATACATTGTTATGTTTGGCCCAGTCCTGTACCTTTCAACAGAACTTAAATTGATTTAAGCTTGTACCAACTGATGTAGTAGTACCGATTTATTTAACTTGGTACCACATGACCACATCCGCCTGAAGGAGGTTTCTAGCATACTAGCTTGGGCCTTTCTATTTCCTGACCAGTTTCTGGTATTTTCAGCTTTTTCCTCTTGCCTTATCATGTGTTTGAAGCTCTATATTTGCATCTTAGAGCTAACAGCTTTTGTTCTGTTCTGGTGTTAAGTCTGGGCTTCTCTCCATGGCTACATACACACTTCATCTACTCTACTAACAACTTAGCCCTGAAGCAACTTGGCTTCCGGTTATATACCCACATGGCCCATGACCCCATTGAGGCTGCCTTAGCCCATGCAAAAGGAAATTGGACATTCAAAATATATACCTACAATTTTAGGAGTACTTAATTGTTGTGAAGCTACAGTGGAACTAGTAGTAACTTTGTGGTCATTTTGCCTTACCAATATGTTGCTAAAGGAGGAAGACTGGTTTCTAAGGGAAAGAGATGGCCCTTATATGCTAGTTGGTTGAAGTGGAGCCTGTTTGTCCTAAACAGTGGCCATATCCAGAGATACTTGGAACTCCTAACTCCCAGTGGTCCTAATGCAGCTGCAGATCTTTGTGGAGATTAATGCTTCATGATGTTTGGGCAAGACTCAAATGCCATTTTCTTATGTCTCTTGATATGGTTTGACTGTGTCTTCACCCAAATCTCATCTTAAATTGTACTCCCGTAATTCTCACGTGTTGTGGGAGGGACCTGGTGGGAGATAATTTGGATCATGGGGGCGGTTTCCCCCATGCTGTCCTTGTGGTAGTGAATAAGGCTCATTAGACCTGATGGTTTTATCAGGAGTTTCCACTTTTCCATCTTACTCATTTTCTCTTGCCACTGCCATGTAAGAAGTGTCTTTTGCTTCCCGCCATGATTCTGAGGGCTTCCCAGCCATGTGGAACTGTAAGTGCAATTAAACCTCTTTTTCTTCCCCGTCTTGGGTATGTCTTTATCAGCAGCATGAAAACAGACTAATACACCTCTTCTAATGGGGCAAGCAGAGATATGGACCATACCCTGTGTTCTTTCTTTAATATACAGAATGTATACTGCCAGTACCACAATTTGCTGAACCTCACAAGTTGTTGGGTGTTGTAAGGAGCTGAAGAAAGTTCCAATTTATAATCATCTACAGTATTTGGGCTGCTTGAGTTGTTACTCTCCAACCATTGTTCCTAGATGGATTTTAAGGAATGAAGATGAATTATATATTACAAACTGTTGCCAATGGCAGTCCAGATGAATTTATATGGACAACTGGCTACCTGGCCATATACCAAGCCAGCTTGACCCAGTCTTTTTCTGGCCACTTCAGAGAGAGAATAGAAGATGCTATGGTTGGGAAGAGAAGAGCATGCTTCTTACCAAGGCCAGCTCAATAGGCGTCCTGCCAGAGGAGTAGTGGTGCAGGTTTTGTTGAGGAGGTTTGCCGATTTATATATAGATACCCAGTCAAGAGTACTCCATTGCCATTAGTAAGACACCTTTTTTTTTTTTTTTTTTTTTCCGAGACAGAGTCTCACTCTGTTGCTCAGGCTGGAGTACAGTGGTGTGATCACAGCTCACTGCAGCCTCAACCTTCTGGGCTCAAGCAGTCGTCTCTCCTCAGCCTTCTGGGTAGCTGGGACTACAGGCACGGGCCTCTATGCCCAGCTAATTTTTTGTTTTTTTTTTTTTTTTTTTGTCCAGGCTGGTCTCAAACTCCCGAGCTCAAGCAATCCGCCCATCTCGGCCTGCCAAAGTCTTGGGATTACAAGTGTGAGCCACCATGCCTGGCAGTAAGACACTTCTAAGTCAGATTATTCCCATTGCCTAACCTAATCTCTCCAATTCTAGAACATTTCTCTCACCCCCAAAAGAAACCCCATACCTATTAGCAGTTAGTCTCAATATCCTCCTCTCCCCCACCCCCTAGAAATCACTAATCTACTTTCTGTCTTTATAGATGTTCTTCTGAACATTTCATATAAATGGAGTCATACAATTTTGTGTCTGGCTTTCATTTAGCATAATATTTTCAAGATTCAATTTACCTATTTTTTTCTTTGATTGTCCTTTTGATGTCATATCCAAGAAACTTGTAATCCATGGAAACACAGGTTTTTATCTACGTTTCTAAGAGTTTTATAGTATTAGCTCTTTCATTTAGGTCTTCCATTTTGAGTTAATTTTTGTACATGGTTCAAGGGTAGGGACTAGATTCATTCTTTTGCATGTATATAACCAGTTACTGGTTATACCCATATGTAAACAGATACCCACATGTAAAACAATGCATCTAGTCCCTACCATTTGCTGAAATGACTATTTTTTCGTTTATTGAACAGACTTGACACCTTTGTTAAAAATCAAGTGATCATAAATGTATATATGTATTTCAGAATGCCCAGATAAATTCCTTTTGTCTATCTATATATATGTGTTTATGCCACTACCATGCAGTCTTCATTACTGTAAGTTTCTAAGATCAAAAAACATTTTAATTTTAAGTTTGAAATCAGGAAGTATGAGTCCTCCAACTTTGTTGTTCTTTTTCAAGATTGATTTGGCTATTCTGTATCCTTCATAATTCCATATGAATTTTGGGATCAGTTAGTCCACTTCTGGAAAAAAAAAAAAAAAGGCATTGGAATTTTGATAAGGATTACATCAGATTTGCAGATTCAGTTGGGAAATTTGCAATCTTAACAATAATAGTAAGTCATCCAAACCATGAACGTGAGATATATTTCCATTTATTTAGATCTCGCTTAATGTCTTTCAATAGTTTTATAGTTTTTAGTATGTAACTTGTAGTTTTTTGATTAAATTTATTCCTAAGTATTTTATTCTTTTTAAGCTATTATCAATGGAATTGCTTTATAATGTCATTTTTTTTTTTTTTTTTTTTGAGACGGAGTCTCGCTCTGTCGCCCAAGCTGGAGGGCAGTGGCGCGATCCTGGCTCACTGCAAGCTCCGCCTCCTGGGTTCACACCATTCTCCTGCCCCAGCCTCCCGAGTAGCTGGGACTACAGGCGCCCGCCACCGTGCCCGGCTCATTTTTTGTATTTTTAGTAGAGATGGGGTTTCACTATGGTCTCGATCTCCTGACCTTGTGATCCGCCCGCCTCGGCCTCCCAAAGTGCTGGGATTACAGGCGTGAGCCACCGCGCCCGGCCTTATAATGTGATTTTTAGAGTAGTCACTGCTAATGTATAGAAATACACTGATTTTTACATATGGATCATATATCCTGCTGCCTTGCTGAACTGATTTATTAACATTAATAATTTGGGGATTTTCCTTTTTCTGTTTTTTGAGACGGAGTCTCGCTCTGTTGCCCAGGCTGGAGTACAATGGCGCAATCCCGGCTCACTGCAACCTCTGCCTCCTGGGTTCAAGCAGTTCTCCTGCCTCAGCCTCCCAAGTACCTGGGACTACAGGTGCACGCAACCACGCCCAACTAATTTTTGTATTTTTAGTAGAGACAGAGTTTCACCATGTTGGTCAAGCTGGTCTCGAACTCCTGACCTCAGGTGATCCACCCATCTCGGCCTCCCAAAGTGCTGGGATTACAGGCGTGAGCCACAGTCCACCACCCTATTTAGGGTGATCAGGTCATCTGCAAGTAGGGATAGTTTTACTTCTTCTTTTCCAATCTATGCCTTTTATTTCTTTTTCGTGCTCATTTATTTGGCCAGAACCTCCTGAACAATGTTA